AGACCTTGAAACCTAATGGCTGAATTTTGAAATTGCTTGGAACCAGTGATTTTTTTTTTCTTTCATTTTCTCCCTTTTTGAATGGAAATGTCTACGACTATTCTCCAATGTCTATCCTACTTATTGTGCTTTGGGAGTAGGTACCCTGTTTCAGGTGCAAAGGTGGAGAGGAATTTTGCCCCAGGATTAATCATACCGAGAGTGTCACATAAACCAGCTTTAGACAATTAAATGATGAAATGCAACTTAAGGGCTGAAGATATTTAGATGACATTTTCGATTTTGAGTTTATCTTGCAATGGGCTTAGACTTTGCAGGACCTTGGGATAGGCTGAATGCATTTACACAAGACAGATGTGAATCTTTGGGGGTTAAACGGAAGACTGCGGTAGACTTAAAAATACCCCCAACTCCACCCAAAGATATCCATGTCCTTATCCCTATAACCTATAAATATATTGCCTTATATTCAAAAGGAATTGTACTTTTCCTTTTGTATTAGAGAATTAATTCGTATTAAAGCATTAAAGGATTACTTTAAAAGAAGTATTTTGAGATGGAAAGATTATCCGGAATTACCCAGCAAGGCTTGATATAATCATACGGGTCCTTATAAGAAAGAAGCAAAGTTCAAAAAGAAGGCAATGTGACAAAAGATGGAAGGACAGAGAAAGGCAACGTAATACACGGCTACGATGCAAAGTCTGAGGATGGCCTTTAGAAGCCAGAAAAGGCAAGAAAGTGGATTCTCCCCGGAGCCTACAGAAGGAGCCAGTCCTGCTGACACCTTAACTTTAGCCCAGTCGGGTGGATTTTGGTTTTCTCACCTCTAGAACTGTAAAAATCATAAATACATTTTTTCAAGCGACTAGATTTGTGGTAATTGGTTATCTAAGCAACAGGAAACTGACAAGAATAGATACTAATTATTAGTGAATACTTAGGTAATAGTATGATCTGTAATCTATAATTCAACTAAATATGAATATACAAATCCTAACTTCCCCATTAGAAGTTCTTCAGTTTGTTACACAAAGGCAACTATATAAATTAGATATTAGTGCAGGTATCATAGACTGGCTTTCAAATCTGGAGGCAGAAAAGGGGAAAAATGACAGTACAAGAGATCAAGAGTCTATTTCTGACTACGTCTGTGTCTCATAAAAAAGACGGTTGTAGGTACACTTAAAATTGAATTTAAGCTACTTAATTATGGTGGCAACAGTGTTTTTCTTTTTTATTTGCCATACCACAGTGTTGAGCACATCATTCTGAACAATGTTGGTGTTCTATAAATGTTTGCTGATTAAATAAATGACAATATATTTAAAAAGTGAATGAGAAAAAGGTAAAGCTCTTAGCCAGATTTTATTTTGATTTAGAGACAGCTTTATTTCAAATTAGTCTAGAAGGAATCAATGCTAAAATAAAACAGATAATTATTTAAGTATAAGTTTTTAAAAGTCCTAAGGTAAAAATCAAAAATATACACACATATACATACATACATGGGAAGGTTTCAGATGCAGATGGGCACATATGCAAAATCAGTGTGTTTCACTGTATCAATAAAAAAAAAATACATTTTCAAAAACCATACCTGTCCTTAAAGTTGATGATATACACATCTAGACTTCAATTGTACCTCTCAGAATTCCCACATGTTGTGGGAGCAACTCAGGGGGAGGAAATTGAATCACGGGGGCCAGTCTTTGCCTCTTTGCCATGCTTTCTTGTGATAGTGAGTAAGTCTCACAGAATCTGATGAGTTTATCAGGGGTTTCTGCTTGTGCTTCTTCCTCATTTTCTCTTGCCACCACCATGTAAGAAGTGCCTTTCATACCCTGCCATGATTCTGAGGCCTCCCCAGCCATGTGGAACTGTAAGTATAATTAAACATCTTTTTCTTCCCAGTTTCAGGTATGTCTTTATCAGCAGCATGAAACCAGACTAATACAGTTGACGAGGTCTGGACACAAATACAAATAAATGTAACTCCAGAGAGAGATGAGCCCTTCTAGGGTAGACAGACATTGATGGCAGCTTTTACCACTGGGGCATGAGTAGGCGGAAGAGCTAGCCTGCTACTAGCAAAGACATTTTTCTGGAATAAGAAGAAACAAGCCAACTTTTATCAGCCAAGCATGGGCTGGCATGGCAGATTGGAAAATGGAGAAACAGAGCTAACCCTCACTGCCAGCCAATTCTCCTTCATAATATTTCTGCTTACAAAGTCTGGTGGTGGAAGAGGCTGGTAAGTGGATGAAAAGCAGAAAGCTCCTGTGATCTCACATGGTTAGATCCCAAACTCTGCTGCAGGGCTAGATCTCACCACGAACAGGAAATCAGATGTGAAATCCAACTCAACTCCTGATAGAACAAAAAGATCTTGCCTAGTCACCTTAGCAGCCAGATAGCAGAAAGCATAAGGCTTTCTAGGGATAAATTTTATCTACCTCAGTCTTGGTGTCCATTCAACACAATAAAAAAAAAAAGTAAGACAAGTGAAGAAGCAGGAAAAATATAAGCCATGATTAGGAAGAAAAAGCAACAAAAGAACACTAGATAACTAAATGGTTGGAATTAACAGACAACTACTTAAATATAACCATTATAAGGTCGAGCATGGTGGCTCATGCCTGTAATCCCAGAACTTTGGGAGGCTGAGACAGGAGGATCACCTGAGGTTAGGAGTTCAACACCAGCCTGGCCAACATGGCGAAACGCCGTCTCTACTAAAAATACAAAAATTAGCCAGGCGTGGTGGCACATGCCTGTAATCCCAGCTACTCAGGAGTCTGAGGCGGGAGAATCAGTTGAACCCAGCAGGCGGAGGTTGCAGTGAGCTGAGATTGAGCCATTGCATTCCGCTCCAGACTGGGCAATAGAGCAAGACTCCATTTCAAAAATAAATAAATAAAACAAAATAACTAGTACGAATATGTGAAAGAATTTAAGGAAGAATGGATGAAATGGATGAAAAGATCAAGAATTTCAGTAGATAAATGAAAACTCTAAAAAGGAAGCAAATGCAAATTCTAGAATTGATAAATACAATATCTGGGGAATGGTTAATCCACTGGATCGGCTTAATGGTTAGTTGGACAAAACAGAAAAAAAAAAAAAAAGAAAAAAGAAAGATTAGCAGCCCAAAGAGAAGACAATAAAAAATATCAAAAATAAAGCACACAGGAAAAAAAATCATTAATTAAAACACCTTTCATCAGAGTTCTATGGCACAGGAACAAATGGTCTAACATATATGCAGCTATACTCTGAAAAATGAATGGAGTAGAATTGCTGGAAAAGGTACTAGATGAGAATTGTCCAAAATGCTTGAAAGATATTAACCTAACACAGCAAATCCTGAAGCAGAAAAACAGACAGAAAATCATACATAGGTCAAATTGCTGAAAACCAGAGATAAAGGCAATAATGTGACCTCTTTAAAGTCCAAGGACAAAAAAGAAAAAAAAAATAACTTGACAACCTAGACAGGAGGGATAATAAAATTACACTATTATAAAGTGGCAAAATGTTTCACAAAGTTGTATAATACTTCTTCATGATAAAACATGAAGAATGAATTATGCATATTATAATGTAACCATTTAAAATCACATAAAATGATGAAAACTAAGTACAAATGGAAGAAATAAAATGTAACATGGACACAAAATGAAAACAAACTTCAATTTTCAAGTAAAATAAATAAAAAACTGATGAGGAAAATGGGAAAGAAGTTTAAAAATGATAGCATTAGGCCCAGGAATATAAGTTATTATTTAAGATATCAAATGTAAGTGTATTCAACACTCCAATTGAGAAGACGAAGACTAGATCTGGGTCTTAAAAAACAGACCCAACTTTATGCTGTTTATAAGAGATGTACAATTAAGATGAAGATATAGAATGAAAGTAAACTGATCTGCATCGCAAACATCAATCATAAGAAATCCAGTGTCTATATTAATATTATAAAAAGTAAACTTTAAGAGACAAAGATCAGTGATAAAGTTGGATATTTCATAATGATAAAATGTTCATTAAAAAAGTACAAAATTGGTTCTCTGCCTAGACTAATAAGATTGACAAATATCTTTTCTCTTGCATAAAATTTCTAAAGGTTTATGAACCCCTTGTGGGTTTATGGGCCTCTTTTTAGGAACTTCTTTTTTTTTGAGACAGAGTTTCTCTCTTTTTGCCCAGGCTGGAGTCCAATGGCACAATCTCGGCTCACTGCAACCTCCACGTCCTGGGTTCAAGTGATTTTCCTACCTCAGCCTCCCAAGCAGCTGGAACTACAGGCACACACCACCACGCCCAGCCAATTTTTCTATTTTTAGTAGAGATAGGGTTTCACTATGTTGGCCAGGCTGGTCTCAAATTCTTGACCTCAGGTGATCCACTTGCCTCGGCCTCCCAAAGTGCTGGGATTACAAACGTGAGCCGCCGTGCCTGGCCAGGAATTTCTTTACAAATTCACATTGTTCAAAATTCATGCAGCCATAAAAAAGATTGAGTTCATATCCTTTGCAGGGACATAGATGAAGCTGGAAACCATCATTCTCAGCAAACTAACACAGATAACAGAAAACCAAACATCCAAACTAACACAGAAACAGAAAACTAAACACCACATGTTCTCACTTATAAGTGGGAGCTGCACAATGAGAACACATGGACACAGGGAGGGGAACATCACATACTGGAGCCTATTCGGGGGGTGCGGGACAAGGGGAGGGAGAGCATTTGAACAATACCTAATGCATGATGCATGTGGGACTTAAAACCTAGATGACGGGTCGATAGGTGGAGCAAACCACCACGAGCATGTATATTTATGTAACAAACCTGCACATTCTGCACATGTATCCCAGAACTTAAAGCAACATAAAAAATAAATAAAATAAAATTCAATGGCTTTCAAGTACATGATCCTGTCAATCCTTGACAGCCATTATTATTATTATTTATTCAGTTCTTGCAAGCCATCTTACCTGAAACTTCACCTTCTGATTAATGTTAGCTACACGGAACTGCTTCAGGAAACGCTCGTCCTCACTCCAGAAGAGACGGATATCAGGGATGTCATACAGAATCATGGCTAGCCTTTCTAATCCTAGGCCAAAAGCCCAGCCGATTCGGTCTTGAGCACCAGCTATTAGGGGGCAAAAAAAAAAAACCAAAAAACAGTTGTTTTTAAAAAGCCTTAGACTAGATAGGCACACACAACTCCCTGACAGTTATCAGTAACACTAATAACTGATAACTGATCATTACAGTGGGCCAGGTACTGGGCAGCCGCTACAAAGACATCCGAGAGGGTGCCCAATCTTCCATGTTTTTCCATCTCCATATTCCTGCCATCTGAAGTCACACTGTCTGAAGTACTCTCTTTCATTTCCAATTAAATTCTAGGCTTTCTTAAGCAGAGGTTCCTGAACTGAGTCATGATTTTTCTGTAATCTTTGTTTGCCCTGATTCAAACATTTTAGCCCACTGTATACAGGTTACAGAGGGGAAAGAAAAGACAGTCTCTGTCCCTAAGTGTAGATAAACACCACATGTTCTCACTTATAAGTGGGAGCTGAACAATGAGAACACATGGACAATGATACATGTAGATAATGAGATACATTCAAAACATGCCATACTGGCCGTAGCATGCTTAGGATGAACTTACATTCGGAAAGCATATACTGTATGTCAGGCCTTTAGGAACTTCAGCTTTATTAAAACACCATAATGCTTACTCTTAGCAAGAGCTACCTCAGCGTTGCAGAGAATACAAGGAAGCCAAGATGAAGGGCACATCTAGCATCACCTACTCCAAAGGTATAGTGTCCTGCTCAGACTGCGTCAATGCCATGAACTATAAGGGTTTATACCTCGCAAACTGAGGCAGTGGAAAAGAGAAGATAGAAACTATAGAATGAAGGCAGGCAAGGGAGCAATTCACACTGTTGGAAAGCTTATGAAACAAGCTCACGAAAGGAACATAATTCCACCTGGACACTAACAGATGAGTAGGATCCGGGGGTAGCCTGGGATGGCCTCTGAGACTCCCATTCCGCACGCACATGCCTTGTGTAAACTCCTCCCATTGAGTTGAGTGTGGGTGGGATCTAGGAACATTCCGGGAATTTAAGACTCTGACTGGTTTACTTTATCTAACAACACTCTATCCTGGTGGACTGGAGAGAGATCCCCCCCTCCTGGCTGTGAAGAGGCTATGTGGCTCAGCCCTTGAGAAATCCTCAAAGAGCTCAGAGAGGTACCTGTAGTCAGGGAGAAAATGGGAATTTCACTTCTACAGTTAGACAGAACAAATTCTCCCAATAGCCAGAGTGAGCCGATGAGAGAACTGCAGCTTCAGAGGAGAATACAGCCTTGATTTCAACTGGTAAGACACAAGGCGGATTCCAACTGTGCCTTGACTTCAACCTGGTAAGACACTAAGCAGCGGACCCTACCAATCCATAGCCAGACTCCTCATGCAGGGAAATTGTGATACAATATATTTGTGCTATTTTAAGCCATTAAGTTTAAAGTAATTTGTTACCAAAAAAAAAAAAAAAAAAAAGCAAACAAACAAAAATAACTAATACAGATTCAAAATGTAAGGAAAGGTGACAGGAAATTCCAGACTGAAGGAGTTTCTTTAATAGCAAAGGGAAGGGACGCAGCACGTGAAGGCTAAGGAGTGGATTCCGGAGATACAGGCAGGACTCATCTCAACGAGCCACAGGAAACATTTTGTTCTTGTTTCTACCTTGCATTTAATGTTTTCCTAAAACATAAAAAAGTTGGCTGGGCATGGTGGCTCACGCCTGTAATCCCAGAACTTTGGGAGGTCAGGAGTTTGAGACCAGCCTGACCAACAGTGAAACCCTGTCTTTACTAAAAATATAAAAATTAGTTGGGCATGGTGGTGCATGCCAGTAATCCTAGCTACTAAGGAGGTTGAGGCAAGAGAATTGCTTGAACCTGGGAGGCGGAGGTTGCAGTGAACTGAAATTGAGCCACTGCACTCTAGCCTGGGCCACAAAGCAAGACTCTATCTCAAAAAAAAAAAAAAAAAAAGAAAAGAAAAGAAAAGAAAAAAACCTTACAATTGTTTCACAAATCCCCATTTGCTCCAACTGTACCTGAACATTCATGGAGCCACACCATTAGATGTACAAAATCCAGGAGGGAAAAGGCTTCATTGTAAGTGAAACACCAGCACCTGTGGTTATCACTTGGCATCGAGGCAAACATCAAGACAATGGGAGCACAGGCTATCAGCTACAGATAGATTGAGAGGCACTGGTCATTAGCAAAGAACTTTGTTAAAATTCCCAACATATGACAGGCTAATTTTGTCACATATAAAATTATGCACATGACATTCCACTCAACAACAATATAATTGACATTCTTTTCAAGTGCATATGAATATTTCACCACAGAACATATTCTGGAACACAAAATAAATTCCAAGGATTGAAATTGTACAAAAAATGTTCTATGTCCAAAATGCAAATAAATCAGAAATCAACAGTAGAAAAAAATCTGAAAAATCTCCCAAACATTGGGAAATTAAACAACATACTTATAAGTATCACATGATTCAAATAAGTCATCACAAGAAAATTAGAAAATATACTTAAATGAATAAAAATTAAGATATGACACATTAAAACTGGAACTCATAAACTATTGAGTGAGAATGACAAAGCCATTTTGGTAGTTTCAAAAACAGTTTGGTAGTTTTTTACAATAAACCAATATTTCTCAACTGGGGGCAATTTTAGCTACCAGGGGACATTTAGCAAGGTCTGAAGACATTTTTGGTGGTCAAAACAGAGTGGGGGGCATCCTGACATCTAGTGGGCGGAGGCCAAAGTTATTACTAAAGATCCCATGGTGTACAGAATGGTTTCTCACAACGAAGAATTATCCAACCCAAAATATGAATGACAAAACCCTGAATTAAACAGATACTTAACATAAGACACAGCAATTCCATTTCTAAGTATTCACCTACATTTCTAAGTATTTACCAAAATGTGAATGGAGAAACCCTGAATTAAACAGATACTTGGCATATGACACAGCAATTCCGTTTCTCAATGTTTAAAAAACGTGAGCTTTGAATGAAGAGACCTTCCAAACAGGCTTTGTGTGAGCAGCATGGCTGTTTATTCACCTGCGTGCAGGTGGGCTAAGGCCAACAAGGGCATTAGCAAATGGCAGTGGGATAGCAGTTGGTTTTATAGGTTTGGGTAGCGTTTTGGGGGGTGGGGGTGTTGCAGAGTAAGTTCAGTTACAGTGGTGGGGTTGGGTGAGAGGTATTTACATTATCATAAGAACAGTTAAGATGGCAGGATTGGGTGAGGGGCTTGTCTGGGGAAGCTCCCCTGGGCGATCCAGGACAATGATTGAGGACAAACACAGGCAGTGGCTGGGAGACTTCAGCAGAGGCAGGCAGGACTTCAGACTTTCAGGCTCCAAGCCTGCATGGAGACCTGACGCTAAGTATTTACCTAAAATACAGAAACATATGTGCACTGGAAGTCCAATGAATCAATGCTCATAACAGCTTCCTTCGGAATGGCCTAACCCCAAAACAACCAAAATATACATCAACTAGTGAATGGAGAAACTGTGGTATATTCATATAGCAGAACTGTCAGAGGCATCTGAACCAGAGTGACTCCATCTTGAGTAGGGGCTGGGTAAAATGAGGGTGATACCTGCTGAGCTGTATTCCTAGGAGGCCAGCAGTGGTGGTATCACAAGATATCGGTCATAAAAAACCCTGCTGAGAAAACAGGATATGGTAAAGCACCAGGCCAAAACCCACCAAATCCAAGATGGTGATAAAAGTGGCCTCTGGTCCTCTTCATTGCTCCTTATATGTTAATTTTAATGCATTAGCATGTTAAAAGACATTCCCACCAGCACAATGACAGTTTACAAATGCCCTGGCAATGTCTGGAAATTACCTTATATACTCTAAAAGGGAGAGGAACCTCCACTTCTGGGAATTGCCTGCTCCTCTCCTGAAAAACTCATGAATAATTCACCCCTTATTTAGCATACAATCAAGAAATAATCATAAGTGTACTCAGTGGAGCAGCCCATGCCACTGTTCTGTCTAGGAAGTAGCCATTCTTTTGTTTCTTTACTTTCTTAATAAACTTGCTTTCACTTTACACTGTGGACTTGCCCCAAATCCTTTGTTACACGAGATCCAAAAATACTCTCTTGGGGTCTGGATCAGGACCCCTTTCTAGTAGCAGAACATTACATAGTAACAAAAATAAATTATATGGAACAAAATAAAAAAATCTCAAAAGAATTACGTTTAACAAAAGATTAGTCACTAAAGATTATCTACAATATGAATTTAATCCATATGACATTCTAGAAAAGGTGAAACTATAGAGATGGATAATAGATGGGTAGGACATGAGAGAACTTTTTCGGGAGATGGAAATTTTCTCTATCTTGATTGTGGGGTGTTTACATGACTGTATATATCCTTCCAAACTCATCTAGCTATGTTTTAAAAGCATTAATTCTGTTGTGTATGATACTACCTTAACAAACTGGCATTTAAAACATCCTACATTTGAATGACATGGCAGTACCAAGTCAAATTGCTGTAAGTTTCTAACTGCTTACTCTCAGCGTCTATGGTTATCTCCTTGTGAACTGGAAACAGAGTTTGTAGATGAGCACCATTCTGAACACCACACTTTGAGGTGCACTAATTTGAATGATATAGAATATGCTTATATATATGTATATATGTATGTGTGTACACACACACACACACACACACACACACACACACACACACACACATATATCTCCACAAAGTTAAGACGTTCCATAGAAAACTCTTACATATTCTAAGCACTGATCCATAGACCCCTAGTAATCTGCACGCTGCAAGCCGAGAATCACGACTGGGAATCAAAATATAACCTCTAACAACAACACCAAAGGTCCCTTCCACCTGGTGCTGGGCCAGCACCACAGATTATCCACAGTTTGCTAAACATCACATGTCCTTGTCATAAAATAGTGTATCTTCCTAACCCTTGCCCCTCTCCTAAAATAAGCTCTCATTGTCCTCTAAAGCTTCATGGGAGGATTCTGACTGTG